ATTCGAGTTAAATAGAGATCCAGTGTTCCAATAATTGGTAAGCAGAAATAAGAGTTGAATTTTACGTCAGTTCACATGCAAAGAACACGCTTACACCACGAGTATCAACATGATTACAAAATCGGCTCTTACTTTAGAATTTGTTTCCTTAAGTATGGTAGAGTGGTTTTAAACCAACATGAGCGGTTGGACCCATATGAACCCATAACAATATATTAGCGCGAAAAGAGCAATATCCGGGACATAAGCTACCTCAAATTGGTAATGGCAATATACTCACAAGGTATTGATTTTTGCGAAAAATCAATACCTTGCAATGCGCAAGTCAGTCCGCAAATGTGTTTCAATTATAAGCTGTTTAGTTCAGGAAATGTGTAATTTTTTGTGAGCACTGTTAGCATTAGCCATAGTCGCTATGCCATACCATACAGTCGTTGTCGTTATTCCCTTACGCACATCATGTCGGGAAAAGTTAAAAGTTTACCCTGAACCGCCTGCCTTTGTGAAACCCTCCCACCCACATCAGTTTGGGCCACATACATACGCTAACATCACGTGATCCCATCCTCCCCCCCACCGCCACCACCAACAGTGCACTTGACAGCGCTTAACAAAACTCACAGGTTGTGTGGAATGAACTCCCTGAGACAAAGGTCCGAGGGCTCCTCCTCCAGGTTGTCGGAGTCTGACAGCGAGCCAATGTCAACTGTCGGCAGCGTCTTGAAACGTCGTGATGGGAGGAAAAAGCGCCAAAGTTCTGGGCGGAGTAGAAAGCCAGCCCCTGAAGGAAATGTGGGCAGAGAAAACATTTCAAAAAATTCAACTCGGTGGCTAATGCTTCATGTCTTGAAATTTACTATTAACATTTAAACATTTTTTCTCGTACATCGAAGGCTCAATTTCCCCTGTTTAGGGCTGTGTAAAACTGCTTGTAAACATTAAATTTTACATGTGGCGTTAAGGCGAAATTAATTAAGAACAACGCAGATCATCGCTTAAATGTATTCTCTTTCAATTGACTTGAACCTTTAAGAATGATTTCGGCAAAGGCATGTCTTACTTGAAAAATAGAAGGGCGTCCTTAAGGCGGCTGTCATTGTACCGAGGTCCCCAGCTATCCCGGCCAGCTCCTCAACTTGTTTCATTTTTCTAACCACTTTTTCAGGCAAACTCAAGCCATAAGTTTTGATCAACTGCTCATACACACCTAGAAGGGCAAATAAAAGGGTCATAAAATGCCACGAAGTCCAACTTTTACTGACCTTTAACATGGAACCAACTCTAAGCCTCTTTGCACATGCTTCAGTGTATGCAGCACTTCAATGTCCACACCAATTTTTCCCTTGGTGTAATTAGCCCTCAGACTAGTCTTTTGATGACAACGAAAATGAATGAGTCGTAGTTCAGCCGTTTGACTATTTTACTCGTTAGTTGTTTTCTGAAGTATGCATCTCCTTGACATTTGCTGTTGAAGGAATCGGCTTGACCAAGTTTACTATGCACTTTTTGTTTCGGAAAGTACTTAACAAACAAATTGCAGATAGGGTTTCAAACGCTTCTGTTTTAATTTAAAAAAATGGAACGTGCCTGGTGATTATGTTCTAACATGGATATTATTATTATTATTATTACATAACTAGATGAGCCGTGGCTATAAAGCCAATGTTTCAACATGAAGGAATCTTGTAGTGTGCTTGCTTATTGAGACGCAGTCGTTGGTTGAGTAATAAAGCAAGAATCTCACTAATTAGGCATTCGTACTGTGTAGCGCTGGTGAACGGTTTTTTTAAGTAGCCAGCGCGGTCACCGATCGCGATTAACAGTAAATTTTAGCAATTCCAGAACAAATACGTTGTAGAAATTGGTGCTTTCACAAAAAAACAATAAGTTAGTTGATGAGTAGCTATTCAACCACCGATGCGCGATTGATATGCAAATTAAACTTGATGTTGTAGTTTCTGTTGTGTTGTTTCATGCCATTTTTACAAGCCACAAAGAATAATTACACAAACCTTGCATTATTCTCGCACCCACAGCTCCATCCAGATTCAAAGTTTCATGATTTTTCACCATGAAGTTGAGGGCCCTTTCGGCTGTAATAAAGATAGCGTCGGCTTGGCTGCGATAAATGTTGCCGTTGTGTCTTAGGCGGACAGTAGGTTTAACCGCAAGCACACACCCTAGAAAAACCACCAATTTGCCCCACATGATAGAACATGGTGGGAAAGTGGGATTTGCACCGCTTTATATAAATTAGGAGCAACAAAAGATGTAGGCCGTAACTCGAGTGTCCATGCAGTCGGAGGTTTATGATTCGCTGTTTATATCATCTATCTGATTGGCTGGAGGTTTGTACTCTCCAAATGAAAATCTAAATGTAGATCTCAACGATAGAATCTCAATGAGGTGTTGTGATAATTTGGTTTGCTTTAAAGCAAAAACCGAGCTTTCTCTTAAACAAAACCCAGGTGTGTCAAACCTCAGCCTCATGAAAAGCCAAATAAATTAATTTTGTGCAACTTAATTGTTTCAGGTACCACACTAGTGAAACTATACGAGCATCATAAAAATATGGCATCATCAATTGCCTATGAAACTTTAGACGAAAATGTCTGTTGAATCGGAGCCTTTAAGAAAATGTCTGCCGAGTCACTATTATGAACCAAAATGCACAAAACACTTAAATTTGTAGTTGTTGACATGTAATGCACAATGAATTCCCTAAGCTGTGGTTTATAAGAAAGGTCTGTTTAAAGTGACTTATAAGGCAAAAAGTAGATTTCGTTCGTTTGCAGTGATGCATCAAATGTGGTTTGTGATATCTGGGTGGGAATTTTCATTAAAGCAGATTAGGCGTTGTTGAGTAAATGAACTATGTACGCAGAGGTATCTTGAGATCCATATGGGTTAGTATAGGCACACAGGAGATACTTGAATATTTCCTAGCCAAGGTAGTTTTAATTACTTTGCCCTTATTTCTCGTTTTACGTGCAGTTGTTAGGTCTCTGCCAATACTAAAAAAAACACTTTGTCTTCAATTCGTTGTTTTTGTTACCACGTAAAAAAGAAGCCTTTGCCAAGTCCAACAGCGACAGGCTGTCAACCCACATAGACCTTGGAGCTTCTGTGAAAGCGTACACGCGCCTTAATTAAATAATTTTTCCAAGAAGAGTCAATAAGCCAAAATGATATCATTTCGTTCGAAATCTTATGTCTTGTCAAGAGGCCAGAAACCATTTTTGGGGGACATCCCTCGAATCGAGTCATCATTATTCAGAGGCGCGTAATATAACATTTTGAATACTATGTTTCATATCAAGTTACCGTTCAAGGGAACCAGGCAAAATGAAGACAAATATTTCGGAAAAATTAATCCAACGGCTGCTAATTAGAATTTCGTAAAAAATCTAAAAAAACCTGTCAGAAAAGAAGGTAAGAATAAAATACGGCTATAACAAGATTTAGTACAGGATGGGTACAATATGGGACGTTGAAAATACATTCGTAGCTTTTTGTGGAAAACATTACGTTGCTGTGTTACCCACAGACTACGATCGACATGAAATTCAAAACCATCCTTTGTAATTCACAATTATATTAGGCAAGTGCAACAATCAAACGCTTAAACCCTTAATTTATGAAACAAGCAACCACGTAGGGGTTAAAACTGATGGTGGCTGGTCATTATCAGTCACATACGTTGAACATGGGAGTTTTATTGTCTGTCTAATTTGATTCAACGCTATTATCTGTGACCAAATAGTACGGATAATGTCAGGTTTGAAGTTATTCCGCATGACATCTAAGGAGTAAGTAAGTGCGCTCACAGTGAGATGATTTTGTCTGTTTTGTGGTTAGTCGGCTTTTTTGGGCCCATCAAAAAGATTGAACTTTAAAGTCATCGACTTTTGTCCAAACGAAACGTCATTTCATCTCAAGGTTTGAGCAATTAAAGCCCATTGAGATCGTCGTATTTTTGTGAGTTTCCAGGTTACACACTTGGTGATACCAACTCAAAATTGAGAGAATACTAGCACTCACTGCTTAAATAATTCTTCTAATAAGCAATTAAGCCTTATTAATATGAACCAGCAGCTCAAGAGGGAAATAGACCTCACAGATCGGAACATATGCCGAAGACAAATACACTGTGTTAGACATTGCTGCCAAACTTTAACTGAAAGAGCTCAGAATTCTACTACGTTCAGTAAAGTGTTACCGCATTTATTTGAATAAAATGCATTCTACATTGTCATGTTTGAGTCTGGAACAGATAAAAATCTAGAATACTAATTTCGACCACGCAAGTACTTGAACTTAGCATAGTTTAGTTTCAATAACCTCAAAAAGGATTTCATTTGAGTATTCAAACTAGAGACTACAATAAATCGAATGAAAAATTCTTTATCGAACACATTTCTTGGATTCACGGGGATCAGAACCCCTTGTAACAGACAATTTGCAAAGTGATCACTTGGCTTTGAAACAACGATTGCATGAATTTAAATACCAAGACAATATATAAGCTTATACATTTCCTCTGCGGTAGACTTTAGATGCTAAAAGGCGTTTATAAAACTTGGGCGGCTTAGTAGCATTTTATTTCTGCGATTGATTTGATAGGCCTGTTTTTTGTCGCAGTTGCGAGAGTTACACATGCAGCCGGATTTACGAGAGACAAATTCAATGACAAAAACCGATTAATGCCGGTGGCGTAGTTACACTCATCCGCTCTGCGGTTCTGAGTGTCCCGCGTAATTAGTCTACCCATTTAATCCAAAGAATAAGAATTGGCATTCCACGTAACTGCTTTGATCTTGCGGGCATGCTTTAGAAAGCTTCATCTTACTCCTTTTTAAGACCCAAGGGACAGGTTGTTTAGTTTGCATTCCAGCTCAGTTCTTCATAATTTTTAAATCAATTTTAAAATCCCCACAAACCGCATGTCTTTCTTTTACTATTTTTAAGCAACGAATTGACGCAAAATACGCTACAAAGCTAGAAGTCGGTTATACTTGTCATATAACACTAGCACGCTGACAATCTGCACGCAAGTTGGCAGTAAATCTGTTCGTCGAACATCCCATACGGCGGCTTGACCTTCTCAAAGTAAAAGTTGTTGAGTTCAAAATAATGTTTGAAAGTTCTTATCTTTCTTCAAACTAAATTTGTGGCTGCACAATCGAAGCAGCATATTTTTTATTTAAAACGCCATTTATGATGTACTTGTAAAAAAAACTACGACGGATTCTGTATATTCAGCGTTCAAATAGAAATTATTTTTACTTCGCAGTAGAATAGCACAATATCTCGAAGAAATTTCACGACAAATAGGCTGTAGAAGAAGCAACATCCAAAGTGGGGTTAATCGGGTTTACTTAGGCCAAACGGGATAGAAGTGGGCACGTATCATTGTTCTTTTGTTTCTTGGTGTCGTGATAATTCAGCGAGAGGGCAATTTCAGATTCACCAGTACTACATTCCCTCGAGCAAAGTTGCAGATTTCTGATATTGAAATCCCCAAATTTTACAACGATCATGATGTCATTCGGAATTTAGTGAAACAATATTTTAACAGTGCTAGAAGAAACCATGAGTCCGGAAACGTGGGTAAAGTAAAGATAATCTTGGTTTTCGGCAAATGTTAGTAAATTAGGAACTTGCATGGTTCACATTTCAGTAAAAGCAAAGCATCAATTATCTTTTGTGACCACGAGTCACTTCACACATTAACGCTTCCTAAATGGCCAAAACCTGCGACGAAAAGTGAATGCTTTGCCGCATTGCAAAACGAAAGATGGAATGGTTAGCTGTGGCTAGACACATGTCGCAGGCGATTTTAAAAGCTCAGAGCAATTGATGAAAATACGTTGTCCATTTAGTGAAAGTGCAAATGTTCATGTCATAATTTTAAATCGCCATATCTTTAGCGACAAAAAACGGTGCCCTCTATCTGCCATACCATACCCGCTACGGCACTATCGATTACTGGTATCAGTCCAAGTCAAATGCGTACAGGGGAGCAAAAATAAATTTGATATCTTTGAACACTAAGGCCAGTCTTACTGCCACCTTCTGGCCAGAGGCCTTGACGACAGGTTATTACTCAAATAGCTTGACCGATGTAGTCATATTAAAAAGAACATGATAGCATCAATGCGCTGCTGGAGATCAGCATTCACAAGGCTGTGTTTCTCTAGATTTTGACACATTTCTATGGCTTATGATCATTCGTGAAAATGCACATCACTTTTTGTATTCTTAGTGGTCAGCCCCTCCCAACTGGCCCGATTCACCTTGGAGTGTACGATTACTCTGAATTGAATTCAAGGCCGCCAACACTACGTATTAATGGAAGCATCTTGTTGTGAATCGCACAGGAATCCCTCACACCCGACTTAGGACTTCGACGACAATTTCATTTGGTTTTCACTATCGCAACCGTAACTCACTCAATCATAGGCGAGGACTTCCTTGGACACTTTGGGCTGCCCGTCAACCTCAAGAATATGTGTCTAAGCGACCTTCTAACAAGTCTAAACGTCAGGTGGCTCTTAAAACAAGGTCAATCGTTTCTCAGATTACAACGTTACAGAAGATGAACGGACCCTATTAAGTTTTACTCCAAAAATTCCCAAACACGATCGACGCGAAGCACAGGCAGACCGAAATCCGACCTTCGGCTACTCACAAACCTTGACAAAAGATTGCCCAGTCAACGCCCGAGAACTTCGTATTTCTCCCACCAGATTCTTGATGGCTAAATGAGAATTCGAACACATGTTACGGCTTGGGAAAGACCGACGATTAGATGGCGATCCGATCAGATCAGCACTACACATAGTTCCCAAGAAATTTGAGGATGAGTGGCGTCCATGGAGTGATTATGGTGCTTTAAAAGCCATCACTACCCGGACCGACATCCCATGCAAAATCTTCATGGTTTCTCGACAAATAGTCACGGAAAATCTGTGTTTTCCAGGTTACATTTGGTATGTGTCTACTATCAGATCCCGGTAGAACAATCTGAGATTCCCAAGACAAATATTGCAATGCCATTCGGCTTATTAAAATTCGTAAGAATGCATATTGGCTTGGAAAATGCACATCAAACATTGCAGCGTTTTATCCACCATGTTTCAGATGGTCTGGATTTTGTGTTTTCGTGCATCAGCGATGTCCTCATTGCTAGTGAGAATCAAGAGAAGCATTTGGAACACCTCGATAATGTCTTCAAACTCCCCAATGAATACGACTTAATTAACAATCCACCAGTGTGTTCGGAGTTCTTGAACTCGAATTCCAGGGACACAAAGTCATTGCTGCAGGCCTAAGGCCTATCGACATTAAAGTGAAGGAGATTCGCGAATTCCTGGAGCCGAAGTCCATCAATCAACTACGACTTTTCTTTGGCATTGTAAATTTGCAACGTCGATTTCTTCCCAACGCGGATCAAACCCTACTACCTCTGACCAATTTACTCAAAGGAAGTTCGAGGAAGCCTTCACGGCTAGAAAGGAGGCTCTAGGAAAGTCAATCACACTGGTTTACCAGCGATCAGATGCCCATCTGGCTCTTCTAACCGATGCATCCTTGTCGGCAGCTGGTTCGGCCTTAGTCAAAACCATCAACTGATCAGTTTAGCCGCTAGCATGTTTTCCAGCCAAGTTTAGTGAAATTCAAAAACCTTACAACACTTTCGGTCGTGAGCTTCCGGCTGCCTGTTTCCTAGTCAAGCATTTCATTTATCTTGTTGAGGGTCGGCAATTTACTATCTACACCGAACACAAAATGCTGACCTTTGCAAATCGTTGAGGTTTGGATCGATTATCACCAAGAGAGGACAATACAGTAGCCGATGCACTACTCGTTCGCGCATCTACGCTGTAAATACAGGTACAAAAGTGGATTTCAAGGATATGGCGATCACTCAGCAATCTGATGAAAAGTTGCAGGAGTTCCGAGGACAAAATACGGCCTTAACGTTGGTTGAAGTTCCTCTACCTTCATCCACATGTACAATCGTCTGCGACATTTCAAGGAGTGTACAACGTCCTTTCGTACCTAAGCCGACGCGATGCCAAGTGTTCCAAGCCCTTCACGATCTTTCTCATCCTGGTCGGCGGGCAACGCGGAAGCGATCTCAAGTCGTTATTAATCGCGATATTCCACATTGAGCCAAAAATTACGTAAGCTGTGAAATATCCAATGTAGACAAACACAAGACTCCTCTTGGAAACTTTAGCGTTCCCGAAGCTAGGTTCGACCACATACGCGTTGATATTGATGGATCCTTACCGGACTCTAAAGGTTTCCGTTATCTTTTGACTTGTGTCGACCGTTTCACCCGATGGTAAGATGTATTCCCAATGCTGAAACCGTCTCTAAAACGTTCGTGGACAGATGAATCGCACTATTTTCAGTCCCCTCCACTATCACCACAGATCGAGAAACTCAGTTTGATTCAAGGCTGTTCCGAAATCTCACACAACTTTAGGGAACGAACTGCATTCGAACGACCGCCTACCACCACCAACAACCAAATGTCATGGTAGAACGTTTTCATCGACAACTGAAAGTCGCTTTAACAGCACACAGTGACCCATCTCGTTGGACGGGTGCGTTCAGTCGTAAAGGAAGATTTGAGGTGCTCCTCTGCTGAAATGGTTTTCGGAACACTAAGGACTTCCTGGGCAATATTTCACCGCGGCTTTCTAACCAACATGGCTGGAACTACGCTGAGCGTCTACGGAAGACAATGAACAATTTGAAAACTACACAGCCGCGCTCACAGTTCAGTATTTCATTCACTCTGAAAGAGTTATCGACATGCACTCACGCTTTCATCAGGCCTGATGCCATTCGTTAACCACTTTAATACATTTACGACGAACCTTTCAGAGTGCCCAGACGAGAAGAAAAGGTTTTCACCACCGATCACAATGGGAAAGGAAACGCCGTATCTGTCGACCGCCTCAAACCAGCCTTGCTTGACATGGAAACGCAGCCAAACAACTAGTCCCAGCTGTAGCCAACTTCCCCCTCTTTCGACAGTAAAAGGGTGGTTACCACTGCACGCTCCGTCAAACGCGTTCATTGGCCAGGTCGATACAGAGGTTGAGGGGAAGAATACCGCTGGACAGATAGGATAACGCCAATCGCGCGTGGCATACAGTATTTCTCGACTCTCCATTTTTTTAAAGCTCCCCTTCAGGTTCCAAGGATTTCCGGTACAGTCATCTTCGAAGGCCACATCACAATCGCTCGAAACCCATGGCCTCCCTTTCAGAAACCTCACTGGTTGAAAAGGTTCGCCAAATCCTCTCGCTAAGGGGGAGAATTTTTGTGAATCGCATTAATTCACACTCTTTAATCCGATCACTCCATCCTCCGACACAGGGTCCCCCTTTTCGTAGCATATTGCCAGCCGCCAGGATCCTCAACTCCCCCTCATTCGCACGAATATTTATCCTGGATTATCCTCACACCTAGGTCTCGATGTTAGCTCATCTCTGACTCACACATCTAAGCTATAAATACATTCGCGAACACCACACACACACACACACACGATGACGACATGGTCAAGTCCCCCCGCAGACTTCATCATTGTTGGGTAGTTAGTGAAATATGGCCCCGCAGTTGTCTTAACGTGAATTCGGCCTTGTCAGCACAAGTAAAACTAATTTTTACTCTTACTATTACAGTAGTATAAACTGGTAAAATTAATGACCACTGTTAACCCCAAAGAGAACAGGTTGGTGACTCCAGATTAGCTTTACAAGCTTTGTCGGTCCCCTGATTAAATAAATTGCCAAGCAAACAAAGTGGACACATGAAACAGAAGTATTTTCGGCGGTTACAGATGTGACAAGTAATGAGTGACAAGGAGAACACGCAAAAATGTACCTCCCATGTCGTGACAGTTAATAATTTGATGGACAACCAAACGTTCGCTTCCTTTTTCACATGCCGCGTAACACTAGCCGAGCATATTTTACATGCTACAATACCACTCACCGAAAAAAACCCTGAACGACCTGACTTTAAAAGCGCATTTGTAAAAAATGGAACGGTAGGCTGAAGCGAAATACCATTATTAAATGAATCGAGAACAGTGATGGAGTGCAAGTATCACAATACTCGGCCCTCAGTTACCCATCGTTCCAGAACAAGGCACTACAATTTTCAGGAGAACCGCACACGGTACATCAGTGCACCTATAACAGCCCCAGTGACTAAGATAAACATTTGACAGCTGGATTTATCTCAAATAATGAGTTCACCATTACTTAATTACCCCATAAAAATGGCGCTGCATCGACGAGCAACAAATGTAAACAGTGCAGCTGCTAAAGGTTCAGGTGGTTGGTGAGTGCACTTAATCGTGCCTTCGATAATGCGGTGATTCGAGATTCCATGTGAAGGTAAAAGTTCACTGCCTGCTATTAACCCGACTTCCCCTAAGACCGGCATTCAAACAGTCGAGCTCCAGCGCCTACCGCTCGCCAAGCTTATCTACCAAGTTTTAGGCGAAACTCAGCACTGCTCCACCGTGCTGGGTAGGTCCGTCTCATCGCCCTCCGCCGCGACTTCTGCCCAGTGATCCCGCGTGGACCCACGTCGGCAGTTGCCACAGCAACCTGACAGACAAAGCGCCAAGCGTCTCAGAGTGGAATTCGGTAAGCGACCACTGCAGACCCCGAAAAGTTTGTCTCTTGTTAACCGTCCTAAAACCATAACTTTACACAACGCGACGACGTTATAAGTCCTACACCAAGATAACAATAAAAAAGATCAGATTAATCAAAGGCACAATAAATTCTCGAAGTTTTTTTTCTATAGTTTCAAACTCAAAATTTACAAGTGGACTAAATGTTAGGCAGATTCGGGACAACATAAATAAAAATGGGATTTAATTGGCATGTTTGAATGTAATTATACTCTTATACAGGCGCATGTAAATAAACACAACAGGAAATAAAAAGTGCATAAAGGCTAAAGCGGAATTGTTCTGATGGTATTTCTGCTGGGCAAGCAACAATGACCTCTCAGGAACGCAGAGGCAACGCTTCGACAAATCAAACAGAGAAGGGTCGAATACCAAATACTTCGCACATTTCATTCACCTAGACGGAGGAACAATGCCCGAAGGAGTGATAAGTATCGAAGGCTGATGTGCACGGGATGCAAAATACTCCTACAATATGGGAAAAAGCCGACAAGCGTACACGCTTCCAATTTACTGTAGGTAAGAGATCAATTCGAATTGTCGCCAACACATAGTATGACATCACCAGCAGCAAGTTGTCGCAATTTTAATCAAGACATGAGACGTCACTTTGAGATGTGTAGAAAAAGAATGACCGATTATTCGGTACGCTGACCCTTGAACCAAGTTAATAATAACGAGGGAAGTCAGTTGTATTAAATGCATCGGTAAAACGATTCCGATCACAACCGAGTATTTATGAGTGCTGCCTCATTTGAATCATTAACATTTACTGAGAAAAAAGCTAGGCAGGTTTTCGAAATTGTGCACTGGAATGCGGCATGACTTGAATCTGTCGACGGGATAACTTACAAGTTCTACGGGCAGATACTGGAAAGGGCAATACGTGTGGCCTGGCTCAAACGCATATAAGACCTTTTTTATCATGAAAAACATGCACTACTAGTCTCATCGAGAAAAGCTCAAAAGAATTGGAGGTAGTGTTCACTAGGCACAGCCACATTTCTCACAACTTACCAGGGCTTTCCCAAAGAGTATTTGCGCTATGGTGACGAAAAAGGTCAACGCAAACAGGCAGGGCAATTCGATTTTGGCAGCAGCGGAGACGGGCAAGCCAAAACAGACTGTAAAAACGACCAGGCTATACACACCTATCAAGTTGGACCACATCGGAGCCTTTGTCTTTGTCACTTCAGCCAGTATAACGCGGCACTATCGAAGAAGAAAAAGTGGATTACTCGGTGTTAATTAGCTACACGAACTGCAGTACCGTGAGTTGGACACAGACATAAATCCATTAACGAAAATGACAGGGAATACGCCATCACTGAGTGACTAAGCTAAGTATCGGGAAAGGGTGGCTGACAAATGGAAAAATGGTCCTGTATTATTTACTTTTAAAGCTTTATTTCATTGTAATTACTCAAAACAACCACTTCACCACATCGTCTCGACTGTTTGCGAATAAAATCATTCTGAACAATTTGCTTTGGAGCCATGATAAATGCTTAAAAAAGAGTACTCTAAGTAAGCCAACTACCTTAAGAATACCAGTGTGCACATGTACCGCCATTTACCAGCAGCCCAAACGAGTATCACACAAGGTGATAGATTTCCAAACACCAAAACTCAACTGTATAACACTGATTCCCCTTAAAGCAATGAGCGATGATTACAAATGCAGGACACTGATACAATTGGCAATGAGAACAAATTCGGCTTCCATGGAAGACTACTGAATAAATTAAAACCACAGATGAAAAGTAACATAAAAATAAGACTCCGGTGTAGCATCTGAACGCTTTGTCTAAAGTCGTTTGCTAACAGTAATTTAGGTCTGAAAGCCAAGTATTAATTTAAATTTAAAAATTCAAAAAGCCCGACAAGTCGCAAGGACCCCAAAAATAAACACGGGAAATAACATGCTGCTATCGATTTTGGAAAAAAATTAGGTAATATAAAGCTGATGTTTAAAAGGATACCCTTGTGTTGGTCTGAAGGAGCGTGAATAAACAGCCTAAGTGATGGCTTTTAAACGAATGAGCATCGGTCGAGGTGTTGTGGCTGATTTTTTAAGACTATTCGAGTTTTAAAAAACTCGTTCGCTTCAAGATCACGGAGTCAGGTTACTCGCCAACATTATCCTCAATTACTTTTGCCTACTGACTAAACTTGATTACTATATTTCTTTCCTTTAACCATCCCAATGTACACCCTCAAAAGCACATGTACATAGCTATCGCAGTGCCTTTGCACACCTTCCAGGTTAAGGACGGCTTCGCTATTAGAGATGGTTAGATATGCCTCAAAGGCGCATTCACGTAACAAAAATGCCATAAAAACAGAACCAAAGGAGCGGCTTGGAATAAGAATGAATAAAAATTCAAGTCTAATGCTTTGGAATTAACAAAGCGCATACTAACAAACGTGATAAAAATGACAACTAAAATTTACAGTAAAAAAAGTTAAGTCAGTACGACCCGGACTAAGCTCAAATGTCTTCAAGCATTAAAAAATTGGCGTGATTATCGGGAGAGTGAAACTGTAGAGCTACAAAGGTCTTAAAAAACGTTCCTGGTTTCAGCAGCAGAAAATCCAGGTCAAATTGAAAATGCTAAATTAATCATTAAAATAACCACTTGTAAATACAATTCACACACAAATGCATAGTCGCTCTTATTCGAAAGGATTGGGTCCTCTGCGATATCATCATACAAGTGCCAGTCTCTTTCGATAGCCTCTGTCTGCCGAGTGTCGCTCGACTACTGCCTTCAAAAACAACGTTCTCACAAGTGATTTGTTCTCGACTTTATCCGGATATGACTTTTGCACGCATTGAGAAAGCAAATTGGTAGGTAGAGAGCATGCGCTTCTCCCATTACGGCGCCTAAGTCCCTCGAGAGAAACCCAGACTCCTCTTCTGCCAAGTTTCGGCAATTGTGGGGTGCTTATTGCTGTTGGTTGAGTTGCGATTAATCAACATTTTTAAATTCTTTCTATCAAAATCTGAATAGCGGCCTCGGCGTGGTTCAGCTCTAAAAAGTTTGCTTAAAGCAACCTGTTAATCCCTTTCAAGTTCTTTTAACTTTTAAAGATAGATCCTAGTAGTTTTTAGTTGTGCAGGTATGATATTAACTGTTACGTTAAGGGGTGCAGAATAGTTTAAAAGTCAGTAGTGGAGGTCATGAGGAGCACGTTAAAACGATTCACTCGGTTCACTTTAACCAAAGATGAGTATGCCAACAATTTCGCCCATCCCCAGCAGCATTTTCCCTCTTTATTATCAAAGCAATAGGACAGGAAGTTCGTACCACAACACTAACATAAATCATTTTATTAACTGAGCAAAGTCACCTCTCAAAATATGCAACAAATAGACCTGTTCGATTCAAAATAGTGCACTTGTATCATCAGGGGGAAAAGAATCTGACTTCAAGTCGCAGCTCCTTAGAGTGGAAACACTATGCGACAGGTGATAGGAAATCGGTAAAGGAATTTAAAACTCACTGTAATATTCGCAGCCACAGTTGTGGCACAGAGCAAGAAAAATCGTGGCGAACGATCCATTATTTGAGTGGGGGAATACTCCATCCAAATCCAAGACGCGACGAATACAAAGAAATTCCCTGCTAGAGGTCGGATAACATCCTCTGGAGAGGGAATCCTTGCTGTGCCATTAGCACAAGCTATAATCACATTAACGACGCTGATTGTGATCGAAAAGGGCCAAAACACACCTGAATTAAAAAAGTAGCACGACCTAGAAAAGTGCTAATCAGAGCAGGGAAAAGCCATGCGAATAAGAAATCACTTGTCTGGTTCTTCTACAAAATCATAAGCTAAATTTAACAAGATGCGTTCCCGTGATAATACTGGGAACAAGTGAAGATTGGTGGGGAACTTATTGACTACAAGCTTCCTTTTCCCTTTGTCTAGAACCAAGTACCCAATCGAGAGCCTACAGTAGGCATCAAAACACATGTAAAGGTTCAAGTGTCAACAGCAGATAGGCAGTGGGTTGACAATCTATGGTAACGGAAAAATATCGCATTTGACAACATAGGCACAATGTGTTTTGCTTCTCTATCACACAGATGACATGCTACTAGCCAGTAACAAACAATACCCAAACAGGCAGACAGGAGTTGGTTGGAACTGTTTTCCAGCTTGAGTTAAATTTGGAAGAAATCTCATTTTCAAGAAATGCATTCTCGCTTTGAGTCTAAACTCCTTTTGTGCAATGGAATTTAATTACATACAAAACCCACAGGTAATGATCCGGCCAGATTCTGAGTTTGCAAAACGATCCCACTTACTGAGACCATTTGCCTTACGAATCGCCGAGGCCTCAGTACGGATCATGAATACATCAAGGAGCCGCCAACTTAAAGAGGCTTGATTACGCTATGCATATACCCGGCACGGCTAAAGACTGGAGGCGACAGGGGAAACGTTTATTGGATGCCTAAGTTCAGGTGGGCCGTGCCGACTCAATGTTTCGTATATTTAGAAATCATGGAATTACACGGGGATACAGATACGTGTTAGCATGTTCAGACGTGGCTAAACAGGCAAGTGCTGGGAATGGGGAGTCTGAACAGACACACGAATCACCGCATTTCTGGACTCGCGTCGACAAATAGCATGGTGAGTCACCAAATTCAATTGAAGGACTAGTTTACGCGTCAAAATTGATCCATACAGCAAGAATAAAGTGGATACCGAATTCTAAGTATTTATATCAGAAATTTATTGAATGTATGCATTTCAACAGACTGCAGAACCTCTAAACGGAGGGATTTTGACTAGGACACTATAACAAGGCAAACTAGCTGACCAGTCATACAGGCACACAAACTTAATTTTCTCTCGTATTCAAGGTCCTCAAAGAAAAGATCTTATGCATTAAACCAGTGATTATTTATGTGCAGATAGACTAAAGATCGCAAGGAAACGCAATATTTTTTGGCTTAAGTAGCAAAACATGAAGTAGAACGACTATGTAAATGGACACAGAAGGTGATGGAAGGACGAATTACATCAACCAAATGGAATATCAAAATTTTCAAAGACCAAAAGAGCCAATCAAAAACGAAGATGACATTGTCAATAATAGTGTGAGCTGCCATAAGATTTCGCGTCCTCTTCGGCAAGTTCCAAACAGTACAGCCAAAACTAAACATAACCGCAACCTTCCCCAAAGCTACTCCGATTCCTGCTTTGTGCTTGAGCGTACTGAGGATCGGATTTTGAATGCTCAAAGGAAGGTACAGTGCCTGTTTAATATTTAACGAAAAGGAAACGTACCATGAGCAATGTAAGGAGTAAGCTCGGGTAGGGTCATCGAGAGATAAGGAATGCGGTTAAACCAAATGGAAGGGGAAGTGAAAAAAGTTATGACAAAGAGCAAGACCAATGCCTGAAACGAAAAAAGCAATACATCAATAGTGAATTAAAATTTCAACAAAATATGTTTGATAGCCACCGCTATTTGCCCAAAGTACATATACAGCATTTTATTACTTTCACTTCCAATAAAAGTAGAACAAAAAATTCATTCTGAATACCATCCTTGGCATGTCATGTGAGATAGCAAATACTGATTGGAACTAAAATAAATGGAGTTTTTGGCCCGGCACTCAGAAATTGTAATTTGAAAAACTACAGTTTTTGGTGCCGTTGAACCGTAGGTTGATTCTAAGAGACCCAATAATTTATGTATTAATTTACAAGACTAGGAAATTTATGAGCAGTTCGTAAGTAGAGAGTAGATTTGATTGAATAAGTAAAGCGATAAATCACCATTGGAATCAAACGCAGTAGTTTCTTAATGTCCATGTTAAAATCCGACATAACTGCTGTTTTTAATCCTTCATGCGAAAGAAATCAGGCAAAAAATAATTTCCCGCAGAAGTAGTTATAATGCATCTGCATTCCTGCAAATCAACCTCTTATAGCAGAATTTAGAGGAAAAGTGATAATTCGAACAAACTAATCCCCACATAGAAATCTTCGGATTATAAAAAATATTTTAACTGCTCTAACGTCTTTCTTAGTAACATGTTTTAATACCCACCGCCTAAAACTTACCAACTGACCAAAGTCATAGGTCCATGGAAGATATAGGACACCGGTTAATGACTTTTCCCAATGGGAAATCAGAAACCCTCCGCTAATAATCCACTGGCAAGTAAATAGTGTGCTGGAGTCCATTTGTCCTGAGAAAATGGAAAATAGGGCAGAAGGATAAAATGCTGCCGTCCAGGCATCACAACAGTGATCCATAAGTTCCCCAAGCGGTGAAGACTGCCCCAAGCGTCGAGCCTGTTTACCATCAATGCCATCTACAAATTCATAATGTAAACCAGCAAACCTCTCACCCAATGTGTGTGCAGTGAAAAGGAGAAGTGCAGACAAGAGCCAAATGATTTGTGGGATGTCTTGACAGGACTTAAAATCCGGATCATAGTACGTGAGTATGAGAAAATCCAAAACGGTAAGGCAAAACCCAAGTACAGTAAGAGTGTTCGGTGCAATCCATCTAGGGAAATACTAAGACATAATGAAATCCACTTTGAAATACGAACCCCGACCAAGCAATTCCAAAAAGGATGCATAACATAGTTTGACAAGGGGCTTGTATCAATGCAAGCATACTTATGCTTCCGAACGCCATCCTTCATACGCTCCGACAGGATTGGCATGGCGACGGTCCAACTTTGGAAATCTTCAGAATATTGCAACGCCAAAGGTGAGCAGAACGGACAAACACATGAAAACTTACAGAGTTGTGGTGTGGCGTCGGATCGGGGCGCAGACATGTTGGACCACCTGGCCTCAGCCAATCCCGTGTCTCTCCACGATCCAATGGCATGCGGGCAAGGAAGGCAGCCAACCAGAGAAGGACATGGATGAGATGCAGTATATAAAGAGCGGCGTGGCCAGCGCGGTGGACTCGGA